AGTTTGAAGGAGGCAGAACTATCGGTTTCCGAGAAGGAAGATTTTCCTATCACGCAATAGGAGCTCGTATGCAGTGGAACAGTTCCATAGTGATGCGAATTTTGGAGCACCGAACAACTCGAAAAACTGACTATGGATGACGGAAGGTTACGTCAGCGTGCTACGAGCGACATCTGTCCCACATGGCGGTGAATGACTGCACAGCCTCCTCTAGGCAGTTGGCAGCACATTGGTCTACTGATACAGGTGTACTAATGTCGGCTTTGTCAATTCGTCAACGTCTGCTACACCGTGGATTGCATGCAAGGGTACCATTATACAAGATTCCCTTCACGGCAAACTATCGATGGCTGCGTCTGCAATGGACTCATGACCACCATGAGCTGATTGGCATCAAGTTGACTTTTCCGATGAATCACGTTTCAATTTGGGGGACCATGATGGCGGCATTCATGGTAGACGCTATGCCAGTGAATGCTGCCTTCCTGAGTGCGTTATCAGACGACATATATAGTGGCCTAACACACGGAGTTATGGTTTGGGGGTGCAGTTTCGTATCATGAACGATCCAATTTGCTAGGAATTGAGGGTAATCTCAATAGCAACAGGTACGTCCGTGAAGTGCCCCACAGCCCGAAGTCATTCCCTTCCTTTAAGGAATCCCTGGAGCTATCTTTCAGCAGGATAATGCACGCCCACATGTTGCAAAGACTTTTCGAGACTTCTGTTTAGCCCAACACATGCAACTTTTTCCTTGGTCTGCTCATTCCTATTGAGTACTTGTGGGATTTGGTTGGTCGGCGTCTCGCTCGTGATCCGCGTCCTGTAGCTTCAAAAGACGAACTTTTACTGTACGTATGAGCAATACGGAATTCTCTTCCACAAGCAGACATTCAAAATCTGTTTGACTCCATACCACGTTGTATAACAGCACTTATTGCAGCGCTTGGTGGCTACACCAAATACTGATTTTGGACACTTGATATTGCTCTGTTGCTTTGAACATTTCGTCATTTATTTATACTAATACAAGTCGTTTGTAAATTAAATTTCATTTAATTCTGAGGATTGTTTCATGGTGTTGCATTTTTTCAAACAGCTGCTTATAAAAATATATACAGTCAGACTTCTTTATAACAAAGTCGCTAAATAACGGAAGAAAGTTCGTTATATCGAAAATTCTTTAAATAGAGGTTTATCTTTCAACTTTCTTAATAAACCCACATAAAACCAATGTTATATTCATAAACACTGTATATTTAAAAAAAGTAATTATTCAGATCTTTTTGTAAATTATAATATATACATTTATTTTATATATAACTTATACCTATATAAAAAAAGAAAGAAATAAAAACTGCAAAGGGACTTTTTTGATGTCTTTATCCACTTCCTAAAGAAATATTTTTTTCTTTGACACTCAAGCACTTACGTTTTGACATTTTCGAGCTACAAGAAACGAAGTTACTAGTACGACTGATTAATACTACAAATGTACGGTGAGTAATTCAAGGACACGGGGACACGAGACAACTCTACTGAGAGTAAAAGGGGACATGGAAGATATTTCGAACTAACTGGACAATTGGTGTTTAAGGTTGCACTTCTAGGATGAAACGCCCAAAATTCTATTGTTCAGGGATATTTAAGTGGATGGTGTACCTTCACAATGTCAAATTTAGGTCAAAATTGCGATTGGGATCCTTATATTTCATAGAATAATTCTGTCGGAAAATTTTATCATTTTGAATAATAATTACTGTATTATTTTTTTATTTTACTCAAATAAATGTTTAAAATGCATTTTTCTTAGTTCGTAAATTTTCCCTTTTTCATTGTTACGTAAAATGCTCCTTGCGTTTAAATTTATGTCATCTCTTATACATTTTCACAACTTATGAAAGATGATATAATTCAGAAATTTGTACATTAGCTTACTAAAATATTTAACGAATCTTATTTTTTGCGTTGTTTTGAACATCTTGAATGGGGGATAATTTGGGGGATAATTGGTGAAATATTTCATATAGTATAGAAATTTTATTCTAAATTTAAAATCCATGCACAGATATATTTTGTTGTAGTTCATCTATTCATAAAACAAAAATTATGTACATATTTTAAAAACTAATGTACAAGGAGTATTTTTAAAAATAGTTAAAAAATTAATTTTTTAAAAAAAAATCTATTTATAATAGTTTTTTTAAAAAATAGAATTAAATTCTGAAATATATAATGATATCATTTACTATACGGATTCTATTTTCGGCTAATTAAGCTAACAATTTAAGAAATTACACTCTGTCGCAAAAAAATATATGCACCCAGAAGAAATCAAGCTACAATCACGAAACTCGGCAAGAATGTAGTCTGGTAAGAGATATGCAAATGATTAAAATTTCGAAGCCAATGAGACAAGGCTAAGTGTGCTATGCGCATATTAGTTGCGCAACTGGGAGAGTTTAAAAGCATGAGTACGAGCGCCGTACGGCTATCCAAACGAATCTGATGACTTTGATAGACGATATTGAGACTTAGGATGCCTCTAAGACGTAACCGGCGGCAGTACGAGCAGCTGACGGACTTTGATAGGGGCCGTATAATAGGCCTCAGAGAAGCAGGTTGGTCGAATAGACGTATCGGCCGCCACCTCGGTCGGAGCGATATGGTAGTTGCTCGGTGTTGGCAACAGTGGATCACAGAAGGTAGAGTGTACCGTCGCTGAGGGTCAGGACGTCCCAGGAACACAAATGATCGCGAGGATCGTGCAATCAGAAGAGTGGCCACTTCGGCACCAACAACGTCGCTAGCATCGATTCAACGCCACTTACCTCCTTCCAGACATCCAGTGCCATCAAGAGAAACCATAAGGAGACGACTGACCGAAGTTGGCTTGAGGAGCCGACGTCCGCTAAGACGCTTACCACTGACCCCACATCATAGGCAGTGTCGACTGGATTTTTGCCGACCTCGGGCAACTTGGAGTGTGACAGACTGGAGACGTGTCATCTTCAGTGATGAATCCCGATTCAGTCTCAGTGCTGATGACCACCGCACACGTGTCTGGAGGCGCACCGGCCAGCGGTCCGATCCGGCATTTATTGTCGAGCGGCATACAGCAATTTCACAAGGTGTGACAGTGTGGGGAGCAATTTCTTGGGACACACGATCATCTTTAGTGGTCCTTCAAGGCACTTTGACAGCTCGCAGATACGTGGACGATATTTTAACGCCGATTGTGCTACCCATGCTATCAAGTCACCCAGGTGCCATTTATGAACAGGATAATGCTCGTCCACATACTACGCGACTCTCCCAACAATGTCTTCAAGGATATGACGTCCTACCATGGCCTGCCAGGTCACCAGATCTTTCGCCAATAGAGCATGTCTGGGACGCGCTGGGAAGGCAACTGCAGCCGTCCCGAGATACAGGAGAATTAACTGCGCAGATGCAAAGACTATGGCAGGATCTTCCACAGGGGGTCATAAGTGATCTAATTGAATCGATGCCACGCCGAATTTCGGCTTGTATAGCTGCCAGAGGTGGCTTTACTACTTACTGATTTTTAACCTTTTGCAAGCTGTAACCGCTTAATAAAATGATATTTTGTTCTGAATTTTTAATCATTTGTTTATTTTCATATACACTACATGCATACCAAATTTCGTGAATGTAGCTCAATTTCTTCTGGGTGCATATATTTTTTTGCGACAGAGTGTATTTTTAATGGCCCATCGTTCCCTTAAGCACCTAATTAAACCAAATCAAGACTTATGACCACCATAAAGTGTGTTAAAAGAGAGAATAACTTGAAATGTCCAAAAACACTTTAAGAATAGGGAGAAAAAAATTGAATCACAAGATAGAAAATGTACTTTACTTTTGGGAGGATATTTTACGAAGAAAATCGTGAAATGTTCTTCGTAGTAGGAAAAATTATATAGAAAAATTCGCAATATAGAGGTTCGTAATATGGAAGTTCGACTTATGAGTGACTTACCCCTGAAGTTGCTACCTCACCGTCTTGCCTATCTAAGGGTGTGGGAGGAATGATAGCAGAACCAGAAACTTCCATCATTGTAATTATTCTTAAGAGAATGTCAAAGGAGTAGTAGAGAAAAAACAATAAATATTAAGTAAACAAGCGCAAGTAACCAATTTAGATTAACCTAATCTATTGTTGATTACATAACCCCCAAGCTGCGAAAATAAACTTTAACTCACATGCGTGGCGAATGCAACAGCTTCTCAGCTCCTTCTTTTATAATTACAAAAACTCTGTCTTTATTATATTCTATATAAGTTCTGTATGTTATGGTTATATCTAAAACAATTTTAAAAAATATACGACTCATTCAAAAAAATGATGCAATACAGTTCTCTTTAAAGCGCCTTACATTTGCGAACATACGTAGCATGATTTCATTTTTTCTAAACAAATGTAGAAGCTTGGAAAAGTTCAGATGAAGGAGCCCGGATAGCTCAGTCGGTAGAGCGTTAGGCTTTTAACCTAACGGTCCAGGGTTCAAGTCCCTGCCCGGGCGTAATTTTACATAAATAGAAATCATACAATAGTGTAAAGCCATTCAGAAGTGTTCTTAAAATACTTTCGGGAGCTATGTTTCGGCAGATCAATTTGCTTGCAAAGATCTTACGTGCGTTCAATGGGATATTTCTCTCTCCCTCTCTTAGGGTCCGTTGTCTTAGGTAAAGGCTTGTTCTTATATAAAATGAATGTACTATAAAAAGAAATTTAAAGTGCAGTTTTGTGTGTTTTGTAACAAACAAAACAAAGAATTACACGGAAGTATAATACAGGTTATATTCTATAAAGTTCTATGTTATGTTAATGTCTGATAAATTATAAAAAAAAAATATATGACAGATTAAAAAAAATGATGCGATTGTATTCTTAAAGCGATTTTCATTTTCAAACAAACTTAGCATTTCATTTCTATTAAACAATTGCAGAAGCATCGAAAGGTTCGCATGAAGCAGCCCGGATAGCTCTGTCGGCAGAGCGTTAGGATTTTAACCTAATGGTCCAGATTTCGGGTCCCTGTTTGGGCGTACTTTTTTACTTGAGTAGGATTCCCCTACGATAGAGTAAAATCATTTGTAGTTCTCTTTAAAAACATCCGGGAACTAAGATTCGGCAGAGCAATTTGCTTGAAAAAGAACTTCCGTACGTTCAATGGGATATTTCTCATTCCCTCTCTTAGGGTCCGTTGTCTTAGGTAAATGCTTGTTCCTACATAAAATGACTGTACTATAAAAAGAAATTTCAACTGCAGCTATGTGTGCTTTTTAACAAACAAAATAAAAAGTTATATTAGCAAAATACAGGTTATATTCTGTATAAGTTCTATATGTTATGGTTATATCTGATACACTTTTTAAAAATATATGACTGATTCAAAAGAATGATGAGATAGAGTTCTCATTAAAGCACCTTACATTTGCGAACATATGTTGTATGATTTCATTTTTACTAAAGAATTGTAGAAGCTTGAAAAAGTTCGGATGAAGGAGCCGGATAGGTCAGTTGTCAGAGTTAGAGTAGAGTATCAGCCGGATAGTGTTAGGCTTTTAACCTAACGGTTCAGGGTTCGAGTCCCTGGTTGGGCGTACTTTTTACATGAATAGAATTTATATTATAGTGTAAATCCATTCAGTAGTTCTCTTAAAATATTTTCGTAAGCTATGTTTCGGTGGATCAGTTTGCTTGAAAAAGAACTTCCTTGCGTTCAACTGGATATTTCTGTCTCCCTTGCTTGTTCCTATATAAAATGAATGTACTATAAAAAGCATTTGCAAGTGCAGCTATGTGTGTTTTTTAACAAACAAAATAGAAAAATCTTACGGAAGCGTAATACAGATGATATTCTATATAAGTTCTATATGTTATGGTTATATCTGATACACTTTTTAAAAATATATGACAGATTCAAAAGAATGATGGGGCAGAGTTCTCTTCGATGCGCCTTACATTAGCGAACATACGTAGCATGATTTCATTTTTACTAAACAATTGTTGAAGTTTGGAAAAGTTCGGATGAAGGATCCCGAAGAGCTCAGTCGGTAGAACGTTGGGCTTTTAACCTAACGATCCAGGGTTCGAGTCCCTGTTTGAGCGTTCTTTTTACATGAATAGAATTGATATGATAGAATAAAAGTTTTTAGTAGTTCTCATAAAATACTTCCGGGAGCTATGTTTCGCGTCAGAGCAATTTTCTTGAAAAAGAACTTTCGTGTCTTCAATGGGAAATATCTCTTAGAGTCCATTGTCTTAGCTTGTTCTTATATAAAATGAAAGCACTGTAAAAAGAATTTTCAAGTGCAGTTGTGATTGTTTTTTAATAAATAAAATAAATAATTACACGTAAGAATAATATTGGTTATATTGTTTAAATGTTCTATATGTTATGTTAATATCTGATACACTTTGTAAAAATATATGACTGATTAAAAAAATTGATGAGATTGTGCTCTTCTTAAAGCAACTTTCATTTTCGATCATATGTAGCATTTCATTTCTATTAAGAATAGTCGGTAGGGCCTATACCAACAATGTTAGTTTGAGCCATTTTAGGAACCTGTTTCTCAGAAATTGTTGAATATAAAAACTTCAAATTTTTTTTGGCTGTATAATAATTGGGCTTTTTTATTTAAATAACAGTAAAATGTTTCAAATATATTGTTCACTTTTTTCAATAAAATTCATCGTAAAAGTATCGCTTTGAAATTTGTGAAAATACTCATTTTTTTACGATAACTGCTTCTGAGGAAAATATTTTGGGAAAATCCTTAAGAAAGTAGCCCTACTATACATAGTTACATATTATTTATGTAGAGTAAAAATTGGAAGTATATTGATTTTTTAGATTCTTTTGAAAAAGGTACAAGAGTAGTTTGAAAACAATCATTCTGAGATAATTGCATTTTAAGTGCAAAAAGGCACTTAATTACAAAAATAATGAATTAGAACATGTATTTGCCCTATTTTATAAAACATTAGTATCTTCTTAATTTTTTAAACATAAAATAGGAAACAAAAGAGTCTTAAATTGCCAAGAACAACATTTTTTAGTTTTTTTTAACGAGAAAACATCAAAATTTTCTCAAATACTGAATCAATTTTTAAACAATTTGTAGCTTTCATACATTACAGATAACAAATTTGAACAGAAAGCATCATAAATATAATGTGAAAATATATCAATATGGTTTTGGTGTGAATTTAGAGGGTATTTAAAAATACCTGATTATACGACGTTTCTTAAGTTTTTGTTAGTTTTCATAACATTATCATTACGTCTTGTTGTTGCAGGCAGTTCCTAAGGTTAAAACTTCAAAAGTTACTTTAAACTGGACAAATGATTTCTTAAACAGACAAAATAAAACTGTTTCGTTGTTCTTAAACATGAAATTTATGTATTTTTATGTATGCAACAAGCTTTTCGCAAAGACAACAAACATGATATTTAATGTATCATCTCATACCTTTTTCTCAGAAACTATTAAACATAAAGACTCAAATTTTTATTTATATTAATCAGACATTATATTTATACAGAAGTTAATTTTTTTAAATAAAATAATTAGTTTTTTCAAAGACAAACTTTTAGTTCACCGAACAATTATTATCATGAATTTATTAAAAATTGTCATTTTTTTGTTATAACTGCTTTATATTTAAATGATTTAAGAATATTTCAAAAATGTCACTCCAGTATACACAATTGCATTTAAGAAACATACACACAGTAAATTTACACAATTTTAAAAATATAAATTATAAGCATGCATTCAGTAAATTTACACAATTTAAAAAAAATAAGTTTTTGAAAATAGAAATTTTTATAAAAAAATCTTACCTTTGTATTAAATTTAATCCAAATTTTTCTTAAATATCCCATAATTGTAACTTCAAGTATTTTTAAAATATTTTTAGCATTTTTCTAAGTCTTTTAAAGTTTTAATTAGTTATTATTACTTATTATTTAAACATATTTAAAGTGAAGAACAGGTTTAAATTTAGGTAAAATCACTAAATATTAAATATAGCATTCAAATTAAAACACATGCTTTGAAATTTGTCACAAAATTTTTTTGCATATCTAGTACAGTTAAATTTACAGTTACTATACAGATATCTAATGCGTATCAATAAAAATAAATTGAGGCTTTGCAACTTTGCTTCAGATTTAAAAAGACAATGTTTACATTTCTATCTGTTAAATGGGCGTGGTTCATAAACTGATTATTTTTTTAAAATCATTTTAAAGTATTTCTAACTCATATAATGGCTTGTATGTTATATCAATGGAAAGCTCCCGATTAGGGGTTAATAGAAATATCAAAATCGATTTTTAAAAGGGATTTACCCTACTGACTTTTCTTAAACAAATGTAGCAGCATCGAAATGCTCGAATGAAGGGGACGCATAGCTCTGTCAGTAGAGCGTTAGGCTCTTAACCTAACTGTCCAGGGTTCGAGTCCCTGTTCCTGGTATTCTTTTTACATGAATAGAATTCATATGATCGTGTAAAAACATTCACTATCTAAGTTAAATATTACTTCCGGGAGCTATGTTTCGTCAGAGCAATTTGCTTGAAAAAGAGCTTACGTGCCTTCAATGGGAAATTTCTCTCTCCCTCTCTTAGGGTCCGTTGTCTTAGCTTGTTCTTATATAAAATGAAAGTACTGTAAAAGAGGAATTTTCAAGTGCACCTATGAGAGTTTTTTTAACAAAAAAAAAAACAAATAATTACACAGAAGCATAATACGGTTTATATTCTATTAAAGTTCTATATATTATGTTAATATCTGATACACTTTGTAAAATATATGACTGATTCAAAAGAATGATTGGATAGAGTTCTCTTCGAAGCGCCTTACATTTGCGAACATACGTAGCATGATTTCATTTTTACTAAACAATTGTTGAAGCTTGCAAAAGTTCGGAAGAAGGAGCCCGGATAGTTCAGTCGGAAGAGCGTTAGACTTTTAACCTCACGGTCCAGGTTTCGAGTTCGGGCGTACCTTTTACTTGCATAGGATTCTTACTATAGAAAAAAGGCATTTGTAGTGATGGGAGGCCAGAACAGATTTATTCAGCAGACCTCAAAATTTCAAAGTCAGTTTTTTGGAATTCGTTTTCTTTTCCTATCACTGAGGGGTTGAATTCCTCAGCGAGGGAGTGCCAAACATTCCCACGCCTGGGGGGATCATTGGACTCGTACATTTTGGGGTTTGTCATCAGATTTTCCTGCTCTTCCAAAAGGCAATGAATCTTGTGCGGTAATTCTGCGCTGGTTCCGGTCCAAACAGAGGTAATTAAGTGGACAAGGCAAATAGTCCGCGCTAGAATTTAGAAGTGAAGAGTCATAGAACAAAAAGGGGACGCACCCCGATTTGGAGACAAAGAGACACAGATTGAGCAGATCCTAGACCTTGAGAATCTAGACTTCGCGGGACTCCAGGCGTCAACCATGTCCATACTCCCACCCCACCTCATCTCTCTCTCAAAGCTAAGTTAAATTTTAATCTTGTTGTGAAGTAAATTTATAGTTACTTAAATATGTTATTCAATAAAATTAATTGTTTACTATACGATAGGACTGTTAATTTAGTGTAATGTTAATTTGTCAATAGAACTTAACTAATTTTAACTTAAGTCATGATGCGATGTTAAATTAAGAAACTGGGTTTGTAAGAAATTATAATTTTTGGTTAAATATATAAAATTTAAATAAGCTATCATCAGCGTCGCATCATATTGGTACCGTGACCAGTCATCGGAATTTTGTTTTCTTTTGCATCATCTGATGTCGTGAATTTTTTTTTCTTGATGGGTCACCGAACATTAATCCTACTTCATCTGTTAAACATGTAAAAACTTTTATTGTGTGGTATGGTGTTTTGATTATATCTATTACGCGATTTTTCCAGTTGTGAAATTTTTTTCTTGTAGTTTTTTTTATTATTTAGATACTTGGGGATGTGCAATCGGGGAGAGAGAGAAAAAGAAAAAGGAAAGGTGCAAGATGTCACAGGTACTGGTGCTTTCTTTCTTTTATATTGATGTGAATTTTTTTCCATGCATGTATTTACTCGAGAGTCGATTGGTTAAAAGTTTTATTTTAATTTTCTGAGTTTATGAATTTTCTCTTACCCTGCACGAGTGCTTGAATTCAGTTGTTTTAGTTGGAATTTAATTGTTTCCGTTGCAATTTAATCTCGTTAGAAATTTTGTTTTAATTTTTTTTAAACATGCCACGTACACAACAATCAGACCCCCTTTTGACGCAGACGGCGTCTGAGAAATTTAATCTAATTGATTTGATCCCAATGTATGACGGAGGTGAATCGTTGGGAATACGTAGGTTCCTGGAAATAATAAATGATGTTGCGAATTTAATCAAGTGGTCTAACGCCGAGAAAGTTACTATTCTGAAACTAAAATTAGCGGGAATAGCTGAGGAATTTTTTTTATCCGACCCAACCCACAGTCATTTAACAGAGTACAACGATATCGCTAGAGTTCTTATTCCTAGATTCGAAAGGACCGTTCCCCTATCCACACGTCTCCAGCTCTTTTCATCATGTATTCAAGGTTCGATTGAAAGCGTGCAAGAATTCGCAGCACGCATCAACAAACTAGGAACACAGATATTTCAGTTAAGTAATTCGGCTCAAAACATGCAGGTACGGAATGCTAATGATCAACTGCTACAGTCGCGTTTTATAAGTGGCTTGCGAAAAGATATTCGTAGATTCGTTTTGGCACGAGATCCCATCAATTTCGAAGAATCAATTAACGCGGCGTTGATTGAGGAACAGAACGTTAAACTGAATCAAATCGCAAATGACGAGAGAACTGGTTTGTCGCCCGCACAAACGGAAACATCAGTCATTTCGGCGTTGACAAACAAGTTACAGGAAATCAATTTAAGGGTCGAGCGTTTACAAGAAGCCAGCTCAGTTACGGCTCGCAAAAAAGATGGGGATCTTTTCCACAGAAGGGAGACTGTTTTCAAATGTTTTTATTGTGGCTTTCAAGGACATAGGCAAGCGGAGTGTAAAAAAAAAAAAAGAAGAGGGACGAACGTAGAGCCAGTTACCAGCCCCCCGCGGGGAAACGCCGCCAGCGAATTTTCTGTTTTCCGTCACCCAAGCACTCATTCTTTCGATCGGCGACTCATTCTTTCGAAAGCCGATTTTAGATATTATACAATTGGTAGAAAAACGGTTTTCTCCTATTAAATCTAGAGATAATATTTCCGATCTACCAATAATAAACGCTAGTGTGAAAGATTACAGATTTAGTATTTTAATTGACACAGGTGCGTCCGTTACATTAATGTCCAATTCTCTTTTTACTAAAATAAAAAACGAAAACTTTAAGGAATTTAATGTTTCAATTTAAATTAAAGCAGTAAGCGGAGATACAGTAGAAATTATCGGTTGTTATGAAATACAATTGTCATTGGGGGAATTTCAATTTCAACATATTTTTTTTATAACTAAGCAAGAGATTAACGAGAATTATTGCGCTATTTTGTGATACGATTTTCTGAAATTATGGAATGCAGTCTTATATATGGGTAAAAACCGTTTATTAATTAATAAATTTTCAATTCCGCTTATCCATTATTCGCTCCCTCCGCGTGCCGTTCAGAGTAACTTTATCCATGGATTTTTAAAACACAAAACGTGTGTGGGTCCCCATTCGGTCACAAATGTTCGTATCCACGTCTCAACATTACCTAATTCTACGTCTTCGGCTACTATTCAGAGTTCAGCAAAGTTAAAAACTAAAAACATCCACCTAACTATTTCGCAAATTAATATTGATCCACAAATAAATGACACCATTCTAAAAATTAGAAAAGATTCTGATAACATAATCACCCTTAACAAAAACATGAAAATAATTACTGTCAATCATTACGAAGATTTTTCTTCCGATTTTCCCGTTTCTCAAGATATTCTACCCCCACTCACGGAGAAGGATTTTAACCTTTCAGGTTTAGACAGCAAAATAAAAAAATAGATTATTTCAACTTTTAATTTCGCACAAAAGTGCTTTCGCTAGCTCTACGGTAGAATTATCTGCAGCCGCTACGGAGCATCATAGAATCAGTCTGCAACATGACTATCCCCTTAAATGTCCGATTTACAAGATTCCATTTAGTTTAAGAAACGAATTTCGACGTCGTCGTCGTCACAACGTCAGATAGCAGATTTAGAGAAGGCAGGGATTATTTCGAAATCTAATTCTCAGTACAATACTCCGGCCTTGTTTGTCAAGCAAAAAGAAAAATGGCGCCTTGTTTTAGATTTTCGGAAACTGAACGAAATAACTTTGACTCAAGACTTCGTTATTCCAACATTGGACGACATTTTGCATGAAATTTCGGGTTCAAACTATTTTTCGGCTTTAGACATGAAGTCAGCATTTAATCAAATTCCACTTCACTTTGCAGACAGGCATAAGACGGCATTCTCCACTCCCGACGGTGACAAATATGAATTTACTAGACTTTGTTTCGTTTTAAAAAACTCGCCTAAAGTATTTAAATCAATTGCACAAGAGGTTTTGGGAGATTTATTACACAACGGAGCTTTGGTTTATATAGATCAGATTATTTTATTTACTAAAACTATAGATGAACATTTTGAATTATTGGGTAGGGTTTTTGAACGCTTTGAAAGAATTCACTTAAAATTTAATCCGAGTAAATGTCAATTTTTAACAAAGAGTTGTAAATTTTTGGGGTTTGTAGTAACGCCGGAAGGTATCCTTATAGATAAAGATAAGTCCGTTTCAATTAATGAGTTTCCAGTTCCAACGGATCAAAAGCAAATTAAATCTTTCTTAGGGTGTTGTAATTTTTATAGGAGATATATTAAAAATTTCTCAAAACGAGCACTTCCATTAACGAATCTTTTGAGAAAAGACACTCCATTTGAGTGGACATCTGAAACGCAGGAGGCATTCGATGATATTAAGAAAGCCATATTGAACCCACCGGTCTTAGCATTACCCGAAGCATTCTCTTAGAGGTTATAAAATTTTTTTTTTTTTACCGTTTACACTATTCGTTACAATTTATAGATTTTAATTTGCAAATCTGAATTTAATTACATTTAATTTTTTTTAAACTTTCAATTGTAACCAATGCTTGTAGTGAATTTTTAAATTTCTTAGGCTACTAAGCATTCTCGGAGGTTATATATATATTTTTTTTCACCTATGCACACGCATCTCTTCAATTTCTAATTTTTCACTTTAAATTAATTTTTTTACGAAAGATTGTTATCGTTACTCTTAGTGAATTATTGCAATTTCTTGCTTTGAGTACTGTTGAAGGTTAAATTAGTAATTTTTTTTGGTGGTCTGGGACATGCACTTCACATTAGTCGTGTCAGGATTTCGATGTTAAACGATTATGAAGTGTCTGTTTCGGGGTGCCACGTTTGTATTGATTACATATGTTTTCAATTGTACTT